TTTTAAAACGGAACGCAGTCCAGTATACTGTTAATCCTTTTTTTTGGCGCCATTTTCAAATTTGTTAATGCAAGGTGAATATAATATAAAGATTCCCTCTTTTCAAAAGAAAATATTATAAAATTGTGTATAAAAAAATTATTTATCAATTAAATCCATCTTATAATAAACGTAAGTATTTTTTTTTTTTGTTTATTTAGAAACTTATCATTTTCTGATTCTGTTTCGACTGATCACGTGATCAAAAGCACTGCGAGCACCTTACCTCGAAATCTCCAGTGCTCACAGTACAAATATGGCGGCAATTTATGACGTCATAAATTTCCCTAGGGTACTGTAGCAGTGTACTGGCAGTCCATAACGGAACGGATTTTTCAGCAGTAAGACCACTGCGCAGTGCTCGCAGTGTATATCGGAACATACCCTATAAGTTGTAAAACAGAATACATTAAATTCAACGTCGCATTACTTGGAACATTTTGTTATTCAACAAATGTCTATTAGTTGAATCTTATTGTAAAATGTTACGGTTTCATTCTTTGTTAATTAATAATAGATGGCGTTCGCGTTCATTTTATTATGGTTGAAATTGACAGTGGTATTATTATATTAATTTTTGTTTTTTGAATTCCTTTATTTGATCGTCTTTATATTTAAAGTAACCATATTTGATTAGAATAGATATTTCATTAATATGAAAAGGGAGAATAATAGCCCGTTTTTTGACAAACAAAATATTTTTTTATCTTAATGACAAATGTGGAACCTATTTCCTAAGTGACTATATTAAAATTGCCACGCTGTCGCTTAAATTAATTGCTTAACAGGTTTGCATAATTTTAAACTACGTACTTATTATAATTACAATGCACTAGTGATATTATTTTTAAAATAAGTGTAAGCACAATAGCAAAGCTTTATTTTATATTATTGCTTTCAGTATTAAAAAATCTCATATTCTTGTTTTAAGACTGCGTCTAGCATTTACCTCTTATTTATAAGTGACAATATAATGTATGTATGTACACGCTTACTGATGATATTTAGAGTATTTATATAATTAACGTTAATACTAGATTTTTTAATAACTAAGAGAATGTCTATAATTGTTTTTGGTGTGTTTTAGTGTAATGACGGACTTTTATTTCTAAAATACGGAAATATATATAATATATAATAATCTGCGATATTCTTTATGTGCAAAATATTATTGCTTACATGACGTAATTTATCAAAAACTAGCTTAGGCAAATAAGTTTAAAATCTTGTAACTTTGGCAGCTAAGTTCAATCAATTTAGATAGCGAAGTTTTTGACATTAATGCTAATCTAATGTGTGTAGATACACAACAGATACAGATGTAAAGCAGGCATTATGATTCAAAACTGAGTGGTGAAATTTGATAGCTTTGTATAACCTGACGTGCTGTTGACTATACTAGCAGTTCCCGCACCGCACATCCAAGCATACCCTATAAGTACCGATAGCAACGCTATAGTGTGCGTCTGCCAGTGCAGGTTACTATTATATTACTTCTTTTTTATGATACTTTTAGTGGTATGTTGTTAAAATTTTATTATCTTAACTTTACGTAAAAAAAAAATATCCACCCGCCAACTTACATTTATTGATGGAAAGTTATGCACAGTGGAAACGAAAGAATTGTTTTTTTTTGTCAACGGTACCAGTTTTGGCCAACCCTTTTACTTACGCACTGTATACTTGCAAAGTTATGCGATGTTGTAGTGGACAGCACTTCAGATAACTACAATTTATCCTTAATCTATGGAACTGTAGGAATTTGGCCTTTGGTAAGATGGTGTCCACATATTCCTTATTTTTATTAATAATTAGATATAAAATTGTAGAAAAACATTTTTCAGAGACATTTACAAATATTATTCCGTCCTAACATAAGGTCTTCCTTAACGTTACTTAAGATATATTTATAACATAATTTCGAAAAGATAAAATTAACTATCCGTAGTGTTAAGTCACCGAGTCACTAAGCTATTATCTAAAAACTGTTACATTATAGTTTAATTTCATGTTTTTGGTATACAAACAATATTGTCTAGCACAATATTGTTGATAATTTCCCTGATATTATTTATAATTTCTCATTCATATATAATTATTAAGTACAACAATTTGTTTTGAATATACTTTGTTGTGAGCCTCTTTGTTCTTTCGATAATTTTATATTATGATTTTGGCATTAAATCCTGGGACTGAGTCGTACATTTTAGTCCAGCAGGGCGATTCTGTAAAAACTCTAATTCAAATTCACTCAGATGTCCGAAAACACGTCATTTAGTGAAGAAATTCTATTAAATCCATTTTTATATAAAATTCATTGATACTTATCTCAGATATTCTCATAATCATCATCAGCCCTTTTACGTCCCCACTGCAGGGGCTCAGGCCTTCCTTATGGATGGTTAAGGAGGATGGGCCATGACCCTCCACGCTGGCCCAATGCGGATTGGAGGATATTAACGACTGCAAATGCAGCCGGGACCAACGGCTTAAAGTGCCTTCCGAAGCACGGAGTAGCTCGAGATAATAATTTTTTGGTCACCCATCCCGTGACCGACCCTTGCGAAAGATGCTTAACGACAACGATCGCGGGCCGTGGCGCTTATCCACTACGCTACCGAGCTACTCAATATTCTATTCCTATGTCATTTCGAAACTCGCTTTGCTTATGCCACGAAACGTATTAATTATTTAAGATTGAGCGGATGCCGCTTTTTAAAGTAAATCCGAGTGAATTCGAATTCGGGCTTGGATTTTCACAGAATCGCGAGGCAGATATTAATTTTAGTCTAATTGAAAATGTTCATTACTCAATAAATGTTTGAAATGTTATATTTGCTTTCATAAATTATATTTATTAAAACTTGAGAGCATATATTAATAAAAAATATATAAGTGATTTAAAATGATATGCCAAAAATAATTACGTAATTTATACATAATAACATTTGATAATAACTTTACAAAATATTGTAAATATTGTTTAGTTTTCATAAACATTATTTTGAACAGAGTTGTGATAACTAACTTTGTACTTAAATGGTGCTCAAAGGAAAATATTACGTGAAAAATTACAGTCACACTTACTTCGTTTATTATAAAAAGGTCGTATCACCGTTGTAACTTATTATCGACACAACAGAATCACAAACCGATAATGCGTATGTAGTTTTTGCCACATTATCGATAGTTGACCAGGTATATTATCTATAATATCGATAAGCCAATATACTATATTGATATTATCAATACTATATCCTGCAATAGGCGATGGAAAAAGTTGCAAAATTGTTGTTCGTTCCTGGGAAGGAAAAAGTAATTTTAATCGTTTAATAAGACCGCGTTAACGGCAACTCTGGACGTAACGATGTGAAGTAAACAAAAGGGATTTAAAATTTTCAGTTTTAAATTTAATAACTTTACACTTTCAATGATTGCCGCTGTTTTCCTATATAATTTTATTACGAAACTATATTTTTGAATTTTATTTATAAAAATATTTTGTAACAACTTTATTTTTTTATTTCAACATAATTTCGAAACGATAAAATTAACTATCCGTAGTGTTAAGTCGCCGAGTCACTAAGCTACTATTTATAAAACTGTTACATTTTAGTTTAATTTCATGTTTTTGGTATACAATTGGTATCAATACTATATCCTGCAATAGGCGATGGAAAAAGTTGCAAAATTGTTTTTCCTTCCTAGGAAGGAAAAAGTAATTTTAATCATTTAATAAGACCGCGTAAACGGCAACTCTGGACGTAACGATGTGGAATAAACAAAAGGGATTTAAAATTTTCAGTTTTAAATTTAATTACTTTACACTTTCAATGATTGCCGCTGTTTTCCTATATAATTTTATTACCAAACTACCCACAAATGACACGCCTTGATTTGTATTTTTTTACCAAGACACAGACTATCAAATATATAAAAAACTATTATTTTTTAATATTATTTATAAAAATAATTTGTAACAACTTATTTTTTTTATTTCGATAGCTGTTCGATGAATCGATAATATCGATAGCAGAAATTATTACATTTGATATTGAATTGCGATGATAGTATTGTAATGTGTCGATTAATAAAGAAAGAGCCAACCTTTGAATTTAAAAATAATTTTTCTGGTAAAGAAATAAAAAATTTATTATTATTATATTTATACAGAGCTTTCGATACTGTTGCTTTTGTATCAACTATCGATAGTTGGCTATCGAACGGCAACACTAAATGTATGCATGGATATTTTCAATGGATTTTATTCTAAATCCTATTAACAATGTATATTGTTTGTTAATGGTTTTACATCGGCCTGAGCGATCTATGGATACGAATGCATAGCAATTGCAGTTGAATGACTATTTTGTTAATACTTTCGAGACGTACAAAATTGTACTGTAAAGCTTAACAAACAAAGATTCTATTTACTTGGTATAATTTGGCATATTCGCTTCGTATGCCGGTGTAAAATCATCTTTATGGTCGCATTTGGCCAGATTATAATGAATTGTTCATGACCGCTGTGATTTAATCACTCAACTATTGTACTTACACCAAATATTATTTATTGTAAAATATGCTTTAAATTTTACTGATTTTAATAAATTGCACCGTTTTATAAATAATTCTTTTCATTTTGGGGTTTGTTAATGGAAGTGGTAGCAAAACTTTTGAACTAATTCGCACGTCGTCAAAGGGAATGCTGCATACTTAGAAAGAGCATAATGAAGTTTAATGCTCGAAAATTCATTTAAATGGTGATCGCATTTCTATCAAGAGCCGAAGAAGGCGGACGAAACTAATTTACACCTTCCAAATTAATTTTATTATTCTTACGATTCAAATTAATGTTTCTTATTTATTTTTTGATTCTTTAATTCTAAATTTCCGTTCTTTCCCCTCGTTAGAATAATAATGTTTTGAATAACCTAATTTAATAAATAAAACACATTCTGAGATAATGACTAAGTTTTTAATTATTCATTAACGCGAATTTTTTAAAGTTCTAATCATTTCATTTTAATAGTTTTGTCTTCATACTTCACAAAATATAGAACTAAATTATTATAATCACAGTGCAACTCACGCTTAACAAATTAATACAAGCTTCTTCAATACTTTCTTAACCTAGAAACACAATCAGTCAAAATAATGGCATTAATACTATAATTTGAGTTAAATATCAATGCAAAATGTGGAAGAAATCGTAGTTGAAAATATTAAAATGTTTAATAGCTAAATTCTTCATAATAGGCGTCTGAAATTATTCTAAAGCGCAAAATTATTTACATTCATAGCCAGTATTCCTGATATTAAAAGTAAAATTTCTTCGTCATCATTTAAAAAAATCCAACTTTTAAACAAAAATAAATTTATCATTACATCATATACATACATAATATCTAATACCTACTTAATTTAAAGAATGTAAAATTACGACATGCTTATCGACGTGTCACGAATACTGACAAAACTGATGATGTTCATTATGATCCATTTAAAATTAAGGAAGTAGTTAGATTAGACAATGCTCTGGTTTGTTTTCTTTTTCGTTATATTGGAAAATCGTCTATGCGACTTCGAAATCACATTGATGAACTATAGTGTGTATGGTACAAAAATATTTCTTGAGTTCGTGATGCTATAAGTTAAACTAAAATGGCGACTGCGCATTTGACTGCAGTAAGACTGCACATTTTCGGGTCTCGATCGATGTGCGGGGGTGAGACGTGGGCCTAACCATAATAACGAAATTACCAGAACCTGCGCGGGAAACCACCATTTTGATCAAACTTTTAGCCTCCCTCAATAATCCTGCCTTACGTAAATATATTTTTAATAATCTCTATATTATGTTTACTTTCCAAACTTATTTAAAAACAAAAAGGGAAATATTCTAAGAAGACCTACTTTTTAGATTAATGAATCAATGAACTCAAAATATGACCTCACTTAAACACCTAAAATATACGTTAGCAAAGGGATTGGGACAAAGCGATGAGATTGACAAGAAAACTCGTTACTATTGCAGATGCGGATATTGATGCGCATGGAGATATAGATGCGGAACGTAATTTCCAAAAAGTTATTTCTTATTTTATTTTTGCACCAATTACAAAGTTTAAAGAGGCTCTCGCATTTGCATCCACATCTGCGGATGTAAGACTTCCTGATTCAAAGATCGCATCTGTACTCGTAACGGTCTAGGTGTCCCCAATGCCTTTTTCTGCGTAACTGCGGCACTGACTTTATTTAACTTTAATATTGGCATGAAAATATCGTGCTAAAGACTACAAAAAGTTTTTTTAGTGAATTAACATATTTAATCGATATTATTTTACTTACTAGCTTTTCTGAATATGGCATACGGTCTGTTGCACAAATGTCCATGTAGGTTTAATGACGCCTTTAAGGTCTAATGAATATTTAATAATTATTATGGGTAATTTACTTCTAATTAATGAAAATTTAATGGACGTTCGTGCAACTGGCTGAGAATGAGACTATTCTAATGGCGAATGACAAATAAGCTTATGTGAAAACATTAGCTTTGTTTTATTTTCTTCACTTAACATCCCTTTTTGTTATTATCTAAGTGTCCAATTCTGGATTATGTTCTTGCAGTTTTTCGTTACCCAAGATGGCCGAGCCCTGCGATGATTATCATGTACCAAGCAAGATGTAATCTCGGAACTATGAATCCTAGGTATCTGTTATTGTGTCCAATAAGAAACACCGCCTAACCGAATATGATAACAAATAAAGGAATAGGATGAGACGCGCCCGGCTTTTATGATCCAATATTTGGATTCTGGAATTTACTGCATTATGAACTTTTAAATACCTAATAAAATTATCTTTTATTGCGTAGACGTAAGTCGCCAGAACAAGTAAGTTATCGTCGTTGTTCATGTTGCCTGTTCGTTAGCAACTAAAATATTTAGTTGATTTGAGACATGTTTTATAGAAACTTAGTTGTAATATGATGTGCATAGATACCTATATCCGTGTCTCTATGTATAAGATGGGTCCCTTGGATAGAATATTTTACCATTCAAATTACAACTAAGCTAGACCCAAAGCATATGACAATGTTATATTTCACAACATCCCTCATACACAAAAAAAATTAAAAAGATGTTTTCAAATTCTATACAGTAAGTTAATCGACTGTGATATTAGACCAGTCAGTTAATGCCATAGAATATACCTATGGTTAGTACATGATAGGTACCATGACAGCAGATATCAATAAATTAGTATGATGAGACTTGAGATCATATAAAAAATAAAAATTATTAAAGATTTTCTATTCAAACATATACACTATATTAGTATAAATTTAATTTTGTATTTCTTGAACATGTCTATGAATTATCAAACTAATGTAATGTGATTTTGAATGACATTAATATAAGAAAAATGCTTATAGGCTAACTTACTTTATTTCTAACCATTACAACACACAATGGGTACAATATTATTGTGTATCAAATTTATAAAAAAATATTAATATGATTAATTTCTTATCATATATTCTGCCTGATCAAAGGAATACAATTTATACCTACAACCAGCTTTAATTTTTATTTTGATACAGTGGGATGTAATCATACCTTTATCTTACTTAAACATAACAAAATGTAAGGAATTCACATGAATAGGTAATAAAAAAATTATACATTCGCTCACTGACTTCAGTTTCAAATTTTCACAATAATTTACTAACAATAACACCAAATATTTACACTAAAGCTATTGATCTTGTAACACTCAATCATACAGACATAGAAAATTAATCAAACTTATATTAGGTGCCATAACAAAGCTAATATTTTAAAAAGATATTATTTCAGTGAATAAAAAACATATTTGGTTGTTATGGTTGAAAATTATCAACATAAAATATAATTTTTTGCAAACTTATCTATCTGTGCTGCCTAAAAGTGGTGGAAAGAAATCAATATTTATAATCAATTCATTACTTATTTGCTAATAATTATTAGTGAAATTATTTTGTACTACACTTGCAAAGACAATGTTCAATCATCATCTAATTCTATAACAATTGGCTCTACATTTTCAGTAGCTTTCATATACTCATTTTTTAGCTGTGATAACAAAGTACATTTTGGTATCTTAAGTTCATCTGCTTCATCTATCAAAACTTTTAGTTTCTGAAGTCTGCCAATATCAGGTGCCGTAGGAAGAAGTATATTTTTCGTTTGTGTCATCCATTTGTCAAAACTATTAACTCTGAAGTCAATAGTCTGTAACATAATGTGCAATTCATCCATATCATAACGGTAATTCAAGGTTTTCTTACCAATGGGACACTGACAAAACTCATTTGCATGCAGTAAGCATGCCATGTGTTTACAATCAGCACAAGATACAGATGAGAGAAAACATGTGGTTTTACACACTTCACAGAGACGTTCATCGTCGCCTAGTAACTCAAATGCAGTTCTACAAACATTTTGTAATCCTTTCTTAGCTATTGCTGCTCTCAAAGCACCCTCTTCTTCAGTTGCATGGACTAATTCTTTTTGTGTTTCTAAAGCTGTTTCCAAATCAAGTCTGTCACCTTCTAGTGCCATTTTACAAATCAACTCATCATGAGAGAAAACGCAGAAACGCTTCAAATTTTTATAGTGAGATATACACTCACGGCCAATATGAAGCCAATCTGGTGGAGCAAAATTAACAGCTTCTGCAAAATTATACCCTTGATTGAAACCAGCATGATATGCTCGAGGAAATGTAACGACAAATTCACCAGCATTTTGGTCGGTTCTATATATTGGCACTCCTGCTGCCATTAGGATATTAGGATTCATAATTGTAACTAATTGATGCAGTAAATCTGGTTGAGACTTAAATAAATCTGGGGCTGCAGCTTTCATAGCATTTTCAAGTAATTCAGCACCATTTCCTGGAACTCCATACCAAGTTTTAGCCTCACCCCAATGTAAGTAATTAATAGAATAGCTCCAATGGTCTTCATTATGCCAACAAAATGCTGAAAAACACATACCCACATACATCCATGGGACTGTCATACCAGAGATGTCAGCATTAATAAAACGTAACACGGAACCTTCTAGGACAGGCAAGTTATTTAAATTCCATCCAGAATCAACATACTCTTGATCACCTGGATACAAATTTATTGATGACTTAGTAGGAAAACCTGAACCGTGATCCATTGAGTGAAGATCTGCTCCATACTCTACTGTTACATCTTCTTCTACAGATGATATGATTCTCCAGAACTCTTTCTCTGCAACATTAGTTGGCACTAAGTGTCCAGACATACCAAAGTAGTCTGATTTAAATTTATCAGCCATTTCACCAAATTGTTGAAGAGTATACTCTCTCTCTGCTTGAGCAAATCCAAATGCTTCAGCTGGCTTGTGCACTTCTTCTGCTATACAACATGGACAACGCCAATCACCATCAGGTACTGAATTCAAAGGAGGTTTAAGACAAAAAGTATGATAGGTATCAGAGCAGCCATTACAGATTAAAAGTAGGTCATCTCTATTATCTTTCTGGCAAATAGCACAAACATAGATTGCTAGGGGGTCCAAGTCGTATCTTGGTCTTTTCCTTGACTTTGTAATATCAAACTCTTCATCATTTAGTCCTGGCATTTTTGGTCCTGGTCCATAACAAGCTAGTCTCCTTAATTCTCTATTTCGTTTTGTTTCCTCAGAGTCAATCTTTGATTTATTACAGTCATCTTGCTTGATATCTGAGCCTGTTTTAGCTTTTTTAATACTGGTGTGAGGTTTATCAAAATCATCATTTTCATTTTTTATTTTTGTTATAGATTCTATGCATATTTCTTTGAAGTTAGGTTTTCCATCTCCATCTTTACAATCAATTTTGGTTTCAGCCTTTTTAACAGTTTTCAAAATATCAGCTTTACTTTGTTCAAATATTTCATAAGGAAGCAAAATTTTCTCATAATTGCTCCTGAGAAAATTTAGTGTGTTGGTACTTTGACTATATCCCATAGCATTAGCGATCTTACGCCATTTTTTCGGATTATTACAAGTCTCAAAGCCTCCCTCCTCATCCACCCAAAACTTCAAACAATATAAATCTAAAGTTTTATTTTCAATCATAGGTATTTTTAATGGAGAACCTTGAAGATCCCAAAACTTTAATATCTTTTCTAAGAATAAAAGCTTCAGACGCGTTATAGCTTCCAATTCGTTTACTTTTTGTATTCGTGGGACGAATTTCAATTTATCCACATCTAATGAAAATGGTGGCTGCCATCGCGCAGGTGGTTTTATTTTACATATGCCAGTTTTTTCAGCAACTGGACGGATTTTTGCAATATATCCCAATGGATCCAAAAATTCTTCGGGTGTGGGTTCGAATACTGGAGCCTCTGGAGGTGGAGTGAAAGTAAACTCTGCACTTTTCTGCATGGCATTTTTCTGAATATTTTTTATATCCATTGTTTACCGCGAACTATTCAAAAAATAAACGTCAGGGATTTGTTTTAGAAGAAAGTACGAACAACGCGCATTTTATCAACATAGGGAGTCTACGTGACTTCTCGCCATGTGTAAATGGCCCCTAAAATTTTAGAATCGTGATAGTAATAAACATCACATTAGTCCATGTTTTTTCAACATTATATTGCTCTTTTTGAATTTTTATTTTATCAGTACACTTTCAGAAGCACTAGATAGTAGGTTAAGGCGATACAGGTTTTTATTTACAACAGAGTTTATTGATTATCCGGCAAATCACTTCACTGCACACACGAAAATAAAACCATAGGTCGTATTCGTAATTTCATGAACAGAAATCAACTAAACCCCACTCACTCGTTTCGTTCACGATCAATTGCTTCACGAACGATAAAACTCAAGCAAGCACAGACAAACGATATACTAGTCTTTGCCACCGATTTTTATTTTTAATATGAACAACCAACAATGCAACAACTCATTCGTTCACTCACTTTATATTCTGTCTATTGGCCATTCTTACTAACCGGAAAGACTGTAGAACATACTAATCAATCCAGAAGTTAGAATATTTATTTATCAAAATTATGTAAACATGTTTTAATTTAATTAGATATTGCAATGAGTATTTTAATTAGTGAATACTTATATGAAATAATTTTAAGATTGACAGATCAAATAAAACCAAATATATTAAGTCGCGAAATCAATTCAAGTTTTCTTGAATTGATTTTTGTTAATTCCTTAATTATGACCTACATAATTTAAAACGTTGTTTTTACCATTTTAGATTAGATTAAATAGATTTCAACATAAGAAGAAAAAATAATTTAAAAAATATATAATTTTGCCTTATGATATGTTTGTATACGGGGCTGCCAATTCTTGATTAAAATCTTCCATAAAAGCGTAAATGAATTTCAAACTAAGTTTAATCACTTTTCATTAAATACATACTAATATTAGTCTTTTTATATTTTATGGTATTCAATAAATTCTTAATAGAGTTGCGTAAAGTACTTTTTATTTTTTCTTACTGTCTTAAATAATATACACTATAGAATATTTTATTTTAATAATAATACACGAATATTAGATAACAAGAATATTAAATAATATTCTAATAATCTTTATACAAGCGTAATGTTTAGATGTTTAACAAAAACGTTCGTTTTGTGACACCAGAGGTTCCCAAACAATTTTTCTCGTATACCATTGTTTCGGTGGACCCCCTGCTGCTACATTTTTACCATATTCCCAAAATTCGTCCAAAATGTGAAGATCTAACGATGGAAATTGGCGTCGCGGGTGAGTTCCAACAAGTGGTAAAAATCAATAAAAAATAGCATATTTTCTTGCGATCTATTTATTGAAATAATAATGATAACAGACTTAATAGAATTAAAATGAAACACGTACGTAACTTCAACAATGCAAAGCAATAATAAAAAAATACCCATAATTTTAATGGGAGGGATGTACTTGATGGATAGACAGCAAATTATCAATATTTGGCTTCAGTTTTGTAAGGATTAACCGCAAATCTCCCGCGTTCTGTAAAGTTTAATCTGCTCCTTTTTTTTGTTAATAGGTTTGTAACGACAACGACACTAAACATTTTTTGACAATGAAACGCTATCAAAAGTTTTCTCGCAATTTCCCACAGCCCCATATTTTTCGAGGTATTTCCGCCTGCAGCCATAAATCTTTGATAGCCTTTTTTAAATTGCACCTTCAGCTCGTCATTGGTGCCGAGCTCGAGTAGTACCTCTTGTAATACCACATCCGCCACTTCCGTTTCATCAAATGGATTTATGATCCATGGTGGTATTTCCATCATCAAAATATCTTCAAATCTGTTTTTGCAGTCATCATGCAGCGCATTTAAATATTGAATGTATGTCTGAATATCTTCATCAAGACATGAGGAATGTGACAAATTTGGAAATTGTGAAAATTCGCGCCCACTAATATTTTGCTTCATAAATTTCAATTTTCCAAGAAAAGCCGAAATTACAATCTTTGTTTTTTATTAAATTTAGGCTATCCCCTTGTAACTGCAAGTTAATGTCATTAACTTTTTTAACAAATCTCTCAAATACGCGATGTCTGCTATCCATTTGTTCAAGTTTTCTTTTAAATCTGGATCTTTATTTTCCAGAAACTCTAAAACTGATTCAAAAAGCAAGTAAAACCTTGTTAAACACGCACCTTTCGACAACCAGCGTACTTCAGTATGTAAAAGCAATCGTCGGAAGTCCTCATCATTTTCGTCGCATAATTGGGCAAATAAACGAGTATTCAACGCACTGCTTTTTATTTTATTAACAGTTTTAATCACAAGTGGAAGCGATTGATGCAATCTATTACTCAAATTTTTCGCTACCAGGTGTTGTCGGTGGATAACTGTGATGGATGACACAGTGTATTGCGGTTACTCCTGGTATTATTCTTTTAAGATGGCTTATAAACCCACGATTACGTCCGACCATGGCAGGAACTCCATCTATTGTCACCAAAATGATATTTGTAAATGGAATAGATATTTCCTAAAAAAATCAATTAAGCTTAAATATTGATTCGCCTTAGGGTCCGTCTCTAAAGTTTTCGTGAATAGCAGCTCTTCATGGATTTCTTCGTCCATAATAAATCGAATATGTGCCAATAATAATGCTTCATTACCAAGTAAAGTTGACTCGTCCAGTTGAATAGAAAAATGACTTGTTTGTAGATAATTACACAAGAAACTTTCAATATCAGGACTCCTTTCATTAATACGTCTTTGTACAGTGTTGTTACTTAAAGGAATTCTTTTAAGTACGTAACGTGAAGGCATGTGCAGAACAGTTTTTAAAACCTCTTCAACATCGGGTAAAATTAACTGTTCTCCGATGGTGTGCGGTTTCCCAGATTTGCCCGCAAGCCATCATCGTTACTTTGAGATGTTGAAATGAACATACTGTGCACGGTGGGTCTCTATTCATATTTTTCCTTCAATGATTGAAAATATTTTAAATCTTTACCTATTTTATCAGGATGACACCTTCTTTGATGGTCTTCGAGGTTTCACAGAAATCATCGAAGGTTTCATAGAGTCATTGCTCAAAACTTTGTTGCATAAAAGGCATGTGGGCAATCGTTTATCTGCCCTTGATGGATGGATTTATATTGGTGAAGAATCAAATAAGTTCATACAAGATGGTAATCACAGCAGACAGTGGTATTTCGTTGCTGTGCACGTCTGAACAAGCATCGCGGGCGGGCGGGCGGCGCGGCGCAATGCAATTTTCTACACGCATCGTACTGAATATTGAAAAAGCAAGTTTTTACAAGTAACACACGCTGACCTTCTTATAATATTATCGCCTGCACATTGATATGTAGGTAAAGCCAAGCCAACATTTTTGTTCTTTACTACTGAACCCACCACTATAAGTTGTGAACCCCTATTTTTATTTCACGCCAACGTAAACCCCCGTTGAATCCCTTTTGAAGGGAATCACTGTGTTACACTCTGATCAACGTTACTATTATTTTTTTACTATTGTAAAACAATTTGCTTTATTTCTGTCAAGAGCTGGCATAGTTAGTCAAAAGACATCCTTAAGGGATGGTATTGTAGGTATACATATAAAAATAATTATTGGATGATTCAAAAGTGCTTGCAATAAGCTTATTTAAGAAGGTTTTTTTTTTATTAATTCATTAGTTTAATGAAATCAGTCTTAATGATGATGACCCGATACTTAGACAAAATTGTTTTATTGCAGACCCGGTTTCAACTCGGTAGAATTTTAATGTGACTTAATTAGACTATGAAGTCACTTTCCATTACAATATCTGAAAAGGACATATATTTTTCGATTACTGAATAATATGCCGGTTGCCGAGTCATACATACTCAGTGACAAATCATGCATAAAAGTAAATTAGTTTTCAAAACTCAATAAACAACTCATATTTTATTTGAACTTTTTCGTATTTGTATTGATAGCTAAGTTTCAAACTTTGCAAATTTCAGTTTTTTAATATGTTAGTTAAAAGGAACGGAAATGACTATCCTTAGTCCATTCGTTTCCTGCAAGAATCAACTTTTGCTAGAGTCGCCTTTTTTTGGAGGTGCTTTTTTTGGTGTTTTCTTTTTATTTTTAAATACTTCCTCATAACACTTCTCTGTGTGAAATAAAACAGAGAGAAAAAATCAGCCCTTGCTGAGTTTCTTGCTGGTGTGAAAAAAATTTGTAGTTTCTTTATTTTTTAAAATACTTCCTCATTCAATTTGAATGAAATATATATATATTTAGGAGCATACGTAATGTAAAAAATGTGGCAACAACGTCTTCCGTAATAAGAAAAAGAAATTACATTTAGCCTGTATGCCAGCTCTTTGCCTTTCAAATTACAAATATTAAAAAAGAGAAATGAGGGCTGTATGAAACTAACATCCTTTGCACATCCCAAACGAGAGGGATTAATAAACCAAAAAGTAATGATGTGCCGATTCAATGAGGGAGTATTTAAAAAAAATGAATTCCTGAAATCATACTAGATGTCACTCGCGATGTTTGGACTTTGTTTATGATATTCATTCAAATTTTGTTTCTGACATAATGAAAGTAATTTGAGTATCGAAAATTAATAAATATGACATCGTTTTGTGTTTCAATATCTAACTTTCAAATTAATTTTAATTTATTTTAATCGTAAATTTAAGATGTTTATTATGTTACGTGTAAAGGAACGATGATTGGTTGATACGTCAACATTAGTGATGAGCCAACTTATTGATTACTCGAAACTTTCATCCGAATTCAGGTTTTAAATGAAGAACAAAAAGCGGAGCGCAGAATTCAGCTTGTATTTGTATGTGTCATTATGCATCCACAAAACGAATGATGTTAATATAAATATTAAAATCAATTCAGTCTAGGCTGTTACACTTGTGGAAGTCCAAAACTTTGCCAATGGTTCGCAAAACTAAGGCGGGAGATCTTGTACAAGAATCGACAAAAAACTCAGCAAGGGCTGCTTTTTTAATTTCAACTATACAACTCTACTCCAAATACTACATATATTTGAGGGAACGTGACGACCTAATGCACACGACACCACCGCAAAGATTTTAAGAGAACATGACTACTCTAGGTTATTTCGTCACCTCTTCGTATTGCATAATATCATATTGTATTTTTTAAATGTATTAATTTTAAAGAACCCCTATAATTATGACAGAGAGATTTTTGTTTGTTCTACTCATACGACATTAGGAGAATCGGCTGATTATTGATAGATCAATCTTATGCCGTCGATATTTCTCCCGGATTGATATTACTCTAAATAAAAACAAAGGTATCTTATTTAAACCTAAGACCCCAATGCGATTCAGACCCAATGACGGTTTGCTACGTTTTATTTCATTAACTACTGAAAAACTATGATTTCTTCATAAGGTAAAAAATAGCACATTAACAATTACATTTAGATTATGTAGTTAATAATATATTTCATTAAAACTGATTTTTAGAGTAGGTTGTGTAGGAAGTCAATCTATTATTAACAACATTATTGTAATAACCAAAAAGCACATATCCATCTCGACGTCCTCGTCCACCTGGCTCGACGTGGCTCGACGTCCGCCGTCGACATGCAAGATCAATAGCAATAGTATAATAACTGTACGTGTCTTTTTGATTTTGAAATTTAAAGTTATGCCCTTGCTGTTAGTTTAGAATAGACATTTCTTGTTAGTTGCTGAATGTTTATTATGATGATTTAATTATGAATATAAGATTAAATAACTGATCATAGTTTTTTAGTCTTAATTTCGAAAGCTCAATTTATTTGCACGTTACACTTTGCACAAACGTCATTTTAGCCACAAGTCATGTTATTTAGCACGATTTTTTTAAAATATATTTATTGTTTTTATGACTTTTGATGCTGATTAATAAACCCTATTCATCCATTTACCATACATAATATAAAAAATATTGTTGAGACTTGATGTAGTTTTGTTGTTGTAAGTTCAACAAACAACTAATAGCAATAAAACTAACTTACCTAGTTGTTATTGTTTTCAGAACTTTTGTTAAATATTATAATGAAAATTTCTTAGTCGTACTAAGGCATAAGTACATATTGTATTCATAAAAACTATTTGGCGGTAGTAATATTATTGTATACCGTAACTAAATGCCACTTTTAATTATATCACAGCATTAATTCAATTGATTTTCATAAATTTAAAAAAACCTCTGTGCTCACTACCATTATGTTAGTTTCCATTTTCCTCTATACAAATAAAAAAGACATTTATTCAAAGGTTACTTTGTATTAATCGAGTTGCGTTTGCATAACTCGAACTAGTTAAATTTCAACTCGATATTAATCCGAGTTCTCAGATCCATAACAACACTGACAATTCTATTCTCTTTGGTTTAACGTCATGAATTGACGTTTAGGTCCAACAATTTGTGCTGCCATCTAGTAACATAAATTTTTGTAGTTTCTTTTTTTTTTTAAATACTTCCTTATTTTTATACACATTGATTATAGTATTACTCGTAATCGATTAACAATTGATAATTATCCATTCATGTCAATGATTATTAAATATTTTTACCCAAAAAGTTTATTAATACCTTTAATTGAATGGCGCCATTTAATTTCATAGAAGGGCTAGCCGCCCACTTGCTCGGCTGATTATACCACTTGGCTGCGACATATACATACATGTGCATTTAGTAAAAAGCAGTTAATATGTATTTGTTAAAATAAAACTGTAAAATCCGTTCATTCATTCATCGGGAGTTTCCCGACCAAAGAGTAAAGTTATATATTTGTTTGTGCGAGTATTCCAGGTTTGCCATAATAAGTAATAGAAAACCTACCAATTATATTCACACTCGAGATCCGCTAAAGGTTGCTGAGTTATCGAACTAAAGTAAGTAGGTACTATACTAACGTTTTAAACTATTGCTATTGCTAACGTTTTAAGAAATAACTAACTGTTAATTTTCGATTAGGAAATCAAAATCGATAGCCAATGATTATTTTAAACATCGATTAATGGGAATCGATATGCACATCACTAAACAACAGAGAAATGTCATTTTACACTGCTCTTACGTACGACGTTTTCAGGTTAGAAAATACAAAATAAAAATAAATGAAATAAATATTCTTTTCATAACGTTTCCTGATAACATAAAAAAAATGCTTAATACATTTCGAAGAGCATTAGTGACTAATATTCAGTACCAACAAATAAGGCTTGGCCATCGAATCAGAGGAAAAGCTCCTATTTATTGTCGGACTATCAAAGAACGCTTAGACGAATTAAATTATAAAGATGAAATTTACACTACCAGAATTGATATAGGCCTTCCCATGGTCAAGTAAGTGTTGTATAATAGCCATCAAATTTTATTACCTAACGATTTATTTAATAATCTTACGACATATATGATGATAGTAATAATAAATACTAGCTCATTAATTATTTGTTTTATAAATATGAAAATGATCAGATTTTTTTTATACTGTGCAGGAGTTCATCATCAGAGAAACGCAATGGCCGATTAGAACATATAAAAAAGATAAAAAGTGACAGAACCCTAGAAAAATTGGCACGTGAACATAAATTAACGGTTGATTTATTAGATGCAAGAAAAGAATGGCTAAACACATTAGCACCATTCCATAAAAAAGATATTGCTGATCACTATGGGGTATTTGAGCATTTATATGGAGAGGGTTACTTTTTACCAAGTGTAAACTTGGATATATCTTATGATATGGACAATGGTTCAACATTGCCTGTTTATACAGGGAATGTGATAAAACCAAGGGAATCTCTACAGAGGCCCTATGTTTCTTTTGAGTCAGACAATGACACATTATGGACACTCGTAATGACGAGTCTCGATGGGCATTTAACAGAAAGTGATAAAGAATATGTACATTGGTTCATTGCAAACATACCTGGAAATCAAGTTGAAAAAGGAGATACATTAGTGGAATACTTGCAACCGTTTCCATTAAAAGGAACAGGATTTCATAGATATGTTTTTGTACTGTATAAACAAAATGCTAAAATGTCATATGATTTGCCAAAAGGTGAGATTAGTAAAATATTCTTCATTATACTATATCTAAATTATTGTATGGTAATGATTAGTATATTGCAAAGGTCAAATTACTTTAATTAATTTTAAACTTTTCTATCAACACATCAAATTAATTGGAAACAGCCTTTTGTTACTTAGTTTCTTTGTGTACTGTTGATTTTATTATAAATAATTTCAGTCACATCAGCATCACTTGAGAACAGGACTTTTGTGACCAGAGATTGGTACAAGAAGAATCAAGATGAAATCACTCCTGGAGGACTAGCTTTCTACCAGAGTGATTGGGATGATACTGTTAGAGATTTCTTCCATAAAACTTTAAATACTAAAGAACCTAGTAAGTTGTTTAATAATATAGTTGCTTAAAGCTATGATTTTTGGAAGTATATTTAAGAAATCTACTGATTTTGGTATTTTTTAATGTTTAAAGTTGTTCTACTGTGCCCAACTGTTTATTAAAAACTATTAAACATATTATTGTTGTCAAATCATATTCAAAAGTATACTTTTGGTATATTGCAGAAAAAAAGAATTGACATATTAGAGCTGCAGCTCATATCTATGGCGCAACAGATTGTTGTACAGTATTCATAGGCATATAGCTGTTATTTTTTAAGGTAGCTTAGATTGTGAACTGTAAGGATAAAAAGTAGAAATTTCAAATTATAGCAGGTTTTGATTTGAAAATATTATTCTGATACAGTTTTCAGCACTTTAATTGCATAGATTTTGTCAATCATTTCATATGTTTTCAAATCATTGATGTTTCTTTTCTTGTTAATTTAATGAATAAAAAATTTAACAAAGCACTGGTGATTCAGCTTAACAGTCACAATACTGAAATCTAGTAATATTGTGTTTACACTTGACATGGTAATATAATATGCTGTACTAAATCTTTTCCAGTTTATGAATATGATTTCCCAGCACCATATATTAGACCACAAGAATGGTATCCACGTAGGAAGCCATTCAATCTTTATATGGATAAATATAGGGATCCGAAACAAATAAATAAAGAGTATTTCCTACGGAAATTGAAGAATGAAGATCCATTCAAGAAACCACCACCACCTCTCAAATTCCCCAATGCTCATGCATTTCCAAAGGGCATGCCATCATGGTTAAAACTCCATGAGCGAAAGATAAGGCTGGGCTGGGGAAGAGTGAATGATGTATAAATGTGTATAGAATATATAAATAAATGATAAATTTAGTACATACACAAATCATTTTTTACTGATACCACATTTGTTGGATTTTGTAAAAATATTTGGCCAATTTTAAAAGCTGATTGGGTACCATACCATCCCTCGCAATCAATAATAAAAATATAATTGATTATAAGAATAATAATATTTATTGCAAGACTTAGTTTAGCTGCAATTTCTTCCAGGAAACGAACAGCAGTAGGGAAAAATAAATTAGTTAAGTATGGGGTTGCAATAATGATAGGAATATTAGACAGATAGAAGGAGAAGAAAAAATGTATAATAATGAGAGAAAAACAAATAAATACATGTTTTATGCAAGATGAGAAATTAGTTCTTACTTCTGAGATGAAGTTCATTTACAAAAAATTAGTTTTTTCCCATCACTTCACCTGTGTAAATAACTGTCTATGATGTAGCTGCCTGTATGTAAAATTACTAAATTTTAAACTATCTCTTTAGCTAGATAGATAATAGCAGTCTATCCTACTCCTACTGAAGGAGGAGGAGGGATATTGTGACCTTGTTCTTCCACGGTATACCATTAAAAGAGTTGCAGCAGGTAGCATAATGCAATACCCATACTACTTAAAACACTTGCAAATAATGCATATAATAAAGGAGTTGTTGGGGTTAACTTAATGATAAATGAAAACACTTATATTACTTAGACAATTTTATTAACCATTCACATACAAAAATAACTAGCATAATCAGACGAAACCTATTTAATAAAATAATATGTACCAGTCACCATCAAACAATTATTCAAACAAAATTTTGGTTTCATTGTCAATGTTAGACATTACTGCAAAAGAAATTAGTATTAGAACTAGGTATATACAAAAATAGTTTTAATTGTTATACTAACAAAAAAAAATGAATTTTATCCAAGAGTGAACCATTAATGGTTCACATAAATTAGAAATTGTCAGTTACAGATCGATAATAAAAATAATTAAATTTGGTTTTCTATTTGGCCAATTAACTTTAGTGCAAATGGGAATTAAAACAAGAGAAATTTATATAAAGTAATAAATTTGAATATGTTACTTTCTCCATTGTAAATGGATACATATTTATACATTAATTTTCCAGCACATCACGTTACCCAAAACAGTCGTTTTTTATAATTGATTTTAAACTTTAACATGATAGTGAATTATAAAATAAATTGTGCTTTGGAATTTTATAGTAACATGATGTCACTGTAGTGTAAAAACAGAATTATAACATAAAGCACCGTCCATAATAATAATGTTTAAATTATTTCTTAGTTTGATTTAAAAAGTCAAACTTATCTGTCTAATTGGTAAAGATAATATAGATGGGGTTGAAAATGTTTCGTTATAACGTTGCCACTCTTCCATTTCACACAACAGTCTAGCTGAGATAATAACAAACATTAAAATAAATGCAAAGAGAATGATTATCACCAAAAATTAAATCATAGAAACTTGTAGCATTGTTGAATGTTGATACATTGTCGACGTCGTTTGGCAATCGATAAAGATTTTATTAAGCATGAATATATATTTTTAAATATATGGTATGCATTAAATCTATTAGCCATAATTGTCACGTTATTAGCTACAAATTGTAGTAATTAGATATAAAACTGTACACCTTGTTTATATTTTTTTTTCATATTTCGAAATAGTAGAATTAACATTTTTTTGGCTGGTTTATGAACTGAGAAAAGTACGAAATCTCAACAGATTATTCTCAATAACTTAAGTTTTATACTTTTGACATGTCAAAAAGTCCTACTATTATAAAACTGTTGTCAACTGATCACTAGAAAATCTAAAATCAGAAACGAAAACCTGTTTAAAATATGTTTAAGTATTGTTTCAAATGTTTTTAATTGAATTCTCAATTCAGAAACTGGGTGGTTGTCCCAGATTAATTATTTACCATATAATAATAATAATTACACGAGTATGCGACAGATTTGAAAAATGGCAAATGGTTTTTCGATTCTTGCGCGTCTTTGTTTGCGTTAAAAAACACACCAACAGCGATCATAGATTTTGAAATTGATGTGGTCTCCCGAGGTGAAGATAATAATAGATACATACTAGTTTAAAACAGATAAAAAAACTACCGCCTGTTATTAGCGGCTATACTTTATAGGAAATAGCATTAAATTGACAATAAACAAGCACAAACAATTTTAGCAATACAATAAGTCATCGATATAGGCAAAGCTATATGAAATGGCAATGACGTAAAAATATGCACCGCAAATTAATATTTATATTTCGCCATACCTTTAAAATACATAATCTTCTTTTTGACATATCAACTGATAATTAGTGTACAAATTTTAACAAATGTTTATGGCATTAGTGAATAAAATAGAGTCAGAGTGTTAAAACTTCATATGAGCGTATTATTATTAAACGATTCTATTGCCTTTTGTTAAAATCATGATCATACATGGCTAACGGTATGGATTCCTAGCATTTTTAAAGGAAACAACTGTAACCATTGTATACAGAGATTTTAATTCATGTTTACACAATTCCGGCAATGTCGCGTTAGCGGCCTTTACACATAAAGAGATAATACCAAAAACACTAAAAGGAAGTATCTCATTGAATACCAAATTAGATTTAACACGAATGAAAATAAACATGAATAAAGATCTGCCCCCTTATTCTGAAACTCTGAGGACAAATAATACAATTGAAAGCTTTAACACTCTTAAACTACAATTAATGCTTATTGTTTGGTAATTTACTTGAGCATTCCAAAAAGTAGTATTTAATCCAATCCTACGTCGTCGTCTGTGGGTGGTTTAGGTGCACCGGATCCGGGTGCAGCACCTCCGAAATCTAAAATAACAAAGTAAATATTTAATAAATGTTAGATAAAATTACAAACACTGACCAGTGATGGGAAAATGCCCGGGCGTATTGGTGTTTTTTTCCCGATAAGCCCACTTAAATTCCAGTCCACTGGCCATTTATATTTTTAACCATATTTATTTGAAAATTAAACGAAAGATCAACTTGTGTTTTGTAGTTTAAAATAATATAACAATGATAAATATCTATATCAATCTATACAAATAAAATATATTTTTTATTCAATGACTGATGTTTAATCGCCTAGCATAAACTATTAAAGTTTGATGAATGATCTTTAGCCAGTAGAGTTATTTGTGGTGAAAACACTCACTCACTATGAAGGATTTTTGGAAATTCAACCTTTAAAGGGGCGTAATAAGGGTTGAAAGTTTGTATAGAAATCCGTCAGTTTTAAAGTTAGAAACATGTAAATTTATTTTTAGGTTACTAATAAAATATAGTTAACAAGTGCTTCACCGTGTTAAGAAATAGGTGTCCAATTCCAAGTTCAATCATGACGGACTTAAATACAAACTTGCAGTATTTAAGTCCGTCATGTTTGAAGTTGGAAAAGTGAAACTTTATTTTTGAGCTACTATTAAAAAAAAATCATAAATATCTTTTTCATTTGCCGATTGCTTAGTTTATTGGATCTAGCCAAATGTCATGGGTCCAACTTTCATAGTTTAAGTTTGGTTATGTTGAATTTGTCAATTAATCAGAACAAGATTTTTTTAATGTATAGTTTGATTACTAGCTTATATACGTCATAATAATGTATGTATACTAAAATATTCATTTATTTTAAATAATCCAATATTAATAGCTAAATTATTGATATAAATTATTTATTTGTTAAAAAACTTTCCTTAAAACAAAATAATTTTTTATGCCCAACGACCGGGCATTTATCGGGCAAATAATATTTGACGACGAACACAAGACACTGGTTTACACCCAATCAATCAATCAATCAATCAATCATTTATTGCATAAAATATGGTGTAACAGATGTCATAAAATAAGCGTATCACATATTTACTGTTTGACAGTGTGCAATAGTTTTAGTAGTTATATAAATTTACATTTTAATCTATTCATGCATTAACTATGATATTATTTTATTCGCACATCATTCACTTAAAAAACATTTCATTTAGTTCCTATTACATATTATTTCAGTCTTATAGTTTAAAATTAAGTAATAGTAATAATGTCAAAATTCGAATCAATTTATATGTTACAAAAATAATAAGTCAAGTAAGCTTAATACATAAATCCATGTCAATTACAAAATAATTTTATCATACACATTATAAAATATGTCATTGTATATAATTTATTTATAGTGTCGTTGTATATAATAATTTATTTATTTATAAGCGATTTTTACTCTACTAAAATTGCTTGCATTCCAAATATTCCTGTATCGAGTAAAATGATTTGTTCAGAAGCCACTCCGTCAAAGCTTTTTTAAAAATGTTTCTGTTAATCGGTAAGTCTACTAGTTTCGATGGAAGCTTGTTGAATATATTTATAGCCATATAATATACATTTTGTTTGAATAATGTCAAATTACATTTCGGAATAACAATTTTATTTTGTCTCGAACTTCGTGGGTCTTTTTTTATCTCTCTGACTTTAGTAAAATATTGTGGATTTTTTTTTACAAATAAACACAGTTCACAAATATAAATGCAAGGCAAAGGTAATATTTTTAATTCTTTAAACATAGGTTTACAGGAGTCACGTCTTTTTATACCACATATTGCTCGTATGCATTTTTTTTGAGCTATAAATAGTCTTTTCATATCCACGCTATTACCCCATATTATTACAGCATAACGTAGCAAGGACGACACGTATCCATGATATGCTTGTAAGGCTATATTTTTAGAAGCGACTATTCTGACTCTATAAAGTGCAAAAACGAATTTATCTATTTTTGTAGCTAAACTATCAATGTGATTTTTCCAGTGTAAATGTTCATCCAGAGTTATGCCTAAAAACCGCGCTGTACTTACTACGTCAATATTGGAATTTTTATAATGTATATTTAAGTTTATTCTTTTAGATTTAGCTGTATGAAATTGTATTATGTTAGTTTTTGATATGTTAATTTTTAAATTGTTTTTGTTTAGCCATTCTATTACATTGGAAATTGTGTTATTAATTTTGTTTTCTAGTTGGTCAATATTTTTATTTTGAAACAGTAGTGTACAGTCATCAGCAAATAAGAAACAGTCATTTGTGGTTATATCAGGGAGGTCGTTGATGTATAGTAAGAAGAGTAAAGGTCCTAAGATGCTGCCCTGTGGTACACCATTTTTTATATTTCGATAATTTGAACGAATGGTTTCTTTGATATTACTTTCCATTCTTATTATTTCTGTACACTGTTGTCTATTTCTCAAATAACTTTCGAACCATTTGTACGCTGAGCCTCTCATGCCATAGTCAAAAAGTTTTTTCATCAATATGTCATGATTCACACTATCAAAAGCCTTTGACATATCAAGAAATACTGCCACTACAGGGACTCTATTATTTAAAGATTCAATTACTTTTTTTAACAATTCAAAACAAGCTTGTGTAGTAGACTTTCCTTCCTGAAATCCGAATTGATTATTATTGATTACACTATGTTTATTAATGAATGATTTTAACCTTTCAGCCATTACTTTCTCAAATATTTTTGAAAATACTGGTATGAGTGTAATAGGTCTATAGTTTCCTATATCACTAGTGTCTCCCTTTTTGAATAATGGTTTTATTACTGAAAATTTCAGTCTATCCGGAAATGTACCACTTTCTAATGAAGCATTTATTATATGTGATAAAGGAGATTTAATACTTTTGGAGCATGCTTTAATAATATCTGTGTTCAGATCATCATAACCCACTGATTTTGTATTTTTCAACTTTAATATTATTCTTTCTATTTCTGTTTCTGTAGTTGGATATAGAAATATACTGTTTTGGACTTTATTTTGATTTGTGTTTTCTATTTTTTTGTTTTTATTTTCAGTTATTTCTGTATAATACTCATTAAATGCTTCACATAGGTCATGAGCGTTATTTAGATCTTTATTTTTATATTTTATGGTTTTAATTAAATTTTTTGTTGGTTTTCTATTTATATTATTATTTATAATTTTCCATGATGCCATACATTTATTTTTAGCATTTATAATGAATTTTGAATTTGTTATTTTTTGCGCCGAATTGAGGCATTTATTTAGTATCTTATTATATTTCTTATAATATGTTTTGTTTTTCTCCTTATCTTTTTTACTCGAATGCATATATTTATAATAGTATTTACGCTTTTCCCGACAGCTCTTTCTTAATCCTTTTGTAATCCACTTAACTTGTTTTGTATTATTACTTAATCTTAATCTTGTTATGGGGAAACATTGGTCATAAAACATGGTAAAAGTATCATGAAACATATTATAGGCTTCATTCGTATCTTTTATTTCTAATACATTTTGAAAAGTCAAAGAATTAATATATTTTATGAATTTCTCTTTATTTTCAATGTCAAAGTTTCTTTTCATTTCATACCAATGAAAATTTCTAATATAGTTGTCAAATGGAATTGATAGTATCTGGCACGTATCATGGTCTGATAGAAGCATATCATCTGTATAACCTTTTGCTCCGTAGATATTACTCACTATTAGATCTAGGCAGGCTTTTTTCCTTGTTGGAGTAGTAATATGCAATGTTAGATTGTAATTATATAAAATGCTTGTTAATATTTTTGTATTTTCGCTATTTTGCAAAATATTAATATTCCAATCACCACATAATATTATTTTATTTGATTTTTTATTTAAAGAATGTAATAGTTTTTGCAATTTTTCAAAAAATATTGATATATTTGATGTAGGGGTCCTATATATGCATATTATAATTAAATTAAATTTTTCTATTAATATTCCGCAGCACTCAAAGTTATGTTTTTCCGAAATTGTATCTGTTATTTGTATCCTTTTATGATCACTATTTTTATGGAGTAGAATACACGTACCTCCTCTTTTTTCATATTGCCGGCACCATGATGCTCCCATTTTATAATTGTTCAGTGTCAAATTTTGTTCATGTCCCCTTTTAATAAATGTCTCTGAGAGACAAACGACATCAATATTTTTGTTTTCTTTTTTATAATTTGATAGTGTAATTTCTAATTGATCTTTTTTCCTAAAAATACTACAAATATTTTGATGTAACAAATTAAAGTTATAGCTTTGTGGCATGTCGAAATAAATACTTTTCCAAATTACTACCTATATCATTCTTTTTGTTAAAATAATAAGGAATTGTACCCTTTTGTGCTTTTATTTGTTGATACTCTATACTCTTATTATTCTGTTTATTGCTTTTTTTATTTAGTTCATTTGGATTTTTTAAGAAATAGTAGGGGATTGTACCCTTTGTCCGTCTTAAGATATCAAATTTATCAATGTTTGACATATTACTCTTGTGATATTTAATTTTTTCTATAGAAAGTTTATAGTAGCTTATAGCTTCCATTTCCAATTTTATTCTAGAATAAATATCATGTAAGTAATTAGCGTTAAAGCGACTATTTTCCGATAATCCTATATATTTACAGTTTTTATATATTTTACTAATTAACTTTAATTGATTATTAAGCATATTTATATTGAGATATGGGTTTATCATTGTCTGAATAAGAAATATGTGTGTGTTAGGCGATTGAGCCAAAAACACAGACAATGCACAAATTATATTTGTGGGTATTTTGTCATTTGCACCAATTAACAGTATCAAATAATCGTCCTTTGTAAAATTATTATGAAGATTTGTGTTAAGAACATCATGACAAGTCGCATCAGGTTTAATAAAAGAGGTAATACAACATTTTTTGTTAGATAGTTTTTTACTTAATAATTTTGATAATCCTAATGCTTGTTGATCCCCTAAAATCATAATTTTTTGATTATTTTGAGTTTTCT